TGTGTTCTTGCAAAGTGCGTTTGCTAATGCTTTGCCACCTTCTGAACCAAGATTATTTATGCCAAGATTCAAAGAAGTCAATGCTGGGTTCTTGCAAAGTACATAAATTAACTCGTTCAAATTTTTCAATTCACATTGATATCCAGAGAGATCCCAGGTTAAAGAACTCTGATCGCTGTTTTTGAGAATTTTTTCATAAAGTCCTAATGCTTTGAGAAATTTGCCTTGCCTAAGATATCCACGTGCTTCGCTTCTCGCAAATTTTAATGCACTTCTTTGTAAATCGGCGAAAGTATCATGTTTACATATTGTAATAAAGTCTCTTGGAAATTTCCAAGCTGATTTAGTTCCTATCAAGCGTTTTTTAACTTGTTGACAAATTTTCATTAATTCCATTTCATCAGCTGCAATAAAAACGTCAAGAAGGCTAACTTCATTCTTATCGGAAAATTTTTCGGTATAGATATAGCTATTCATTTTGTCAAACATTTGAAATTATTTTTTTTATATATGGGAGAAATTCAGACAGTTGAAAAATGACATATAACCTAAAAATATGAACTTACTTTATAATAGTTTCAAACACAAGTGGAGAAATATTAGGCTTATTGAAAATGATGATTCCGTTTTCTCTCCTTGCCCATCGCGATGACAGTGCAGCTTCAAAGTAAGATGAACTTGCCGATAAGATAATAGGATGAACTTTAAATTCTTTAACATTTGGTTCTTCACCAACTCTAATTATCACATCAAAATCTAAATTTTTAAATTTTTCAATTAAATTTTGAATAGGTATATAACGCAAACGCGTAAGTGCACATGCCTTTGTTACAAAAATAGACACGCGTACGGGCTAGGGAAAAATTTTGGGCACGCCCCGGGCATGCCTCTGGGCAATACGAACTCCTAAAAGGAAACAGCCAATCAGCAAGTTCAAGTTTTGATTAACCCGATATGGAATCCGAACACATGCAAAAGAAAATGCTCTAAAACTAATTTTTGAATCGACCTTGGCGCATTAATTAAAAACGTTGGAAACAAGATTTTCCTAAACCAACGGTTTAACCTTACGTAGTTCATACTCAGTTTCCTTTTTCGTCTACACTCATGCAGGAGAGATCCCAAAATTCCGGGCCCATTCATTTAAGTAAAAATGCCTAACTGATAATTTTGCTACAAAAGACT